CATCTAGTCATGTTTATTATTGAAAATGTCTGTTCACAGATGGAAGTGGTTCCAAAGACACACACACAAAAAAGAGAGAATTAGATTATACTCCTTCGGCACAGCAAACTGTGTCGCGACATAGGAGGCACAGTATTTTGTCCTTTAACACTGTACTTAAGCATTATTTGTCCACTCAGGATTAAAGATTCTGTGCTCTTGATCTAGTTTCATCTTAATGCTTTGATTCATGGCGCTTAAATACATCAAGTAAACGCCTGTAAGTATATTACCCAAATAAAAGCACAGAATATCGAAATAACGCGACACGTGAGTTCTAAACAATACTACAAACCTCTACACAATATTACAAAAATAGTAAAAGGCCACTCTGCACAGAAGACACTAATTTTTTAACACACTTACGCTAATGAGTAGATTATGTTGATTGACAAGAAATAATCGCCGGGAACCGTGGTCAATTTCCGTCGAGAAAGAATAATGGCGCGGGAAATGCGTGCGTTAGTGTGTGTGTAAATATCGTTACGAGGGAAAAAAAATGTAATGAGTACCTATGTCCACAACGATAAGTATTCAGTTATTTAATTTCATTTAATAAAATAAAAATTCATTTCAGTTATGCGTGGGGAAAATTTGTTTAAAAATATTGATTTTTTAAAAATGAAATAAATATGTATATATTATTTATGTATGTTTACCTTTTGTAAGATATGGAATATTATTTTTAATTTATAATATTATGAATTATCACCAAAGTCTTCGCGGGTCGTATGTTGGGCAGGCCTGATTGAAGTGCCAGCTCCAAGTTATAAGGAGGCAGCAAGTTTCAACCTATTTCTTAAACTTAATTGAACTAATTTCAGCAACACATCAAAGTTAGAGTGGCAGCCTTGGTGCACTCTAACTGTACACGCTGCACTCTAACTTTACATGGTGCACTCTAACTGTTCTTGGTGCACTCTAACGTTCATGGTGCACTCTAACTGTTCATGGTGCACTCTAACTGTTCATGGCACACTGTAACTGTTCATGGCGCACTCTAACTGTTCATGGTGCACTCTAACTGTACAGGGTGCACTCTAACTGTACACGTTGCCACTCTAACTGTACACGGTGCACTCTAACTGTACACGGTGCACTCTAACTGTACATGGTGCACTCTAACTGTACACGGTGCACTCTAACTGTACACGGTGCCACTCTAACTGTACACGGTGCACTCTAACTGTACACGGTGCACTCTAACTGTACATGGTGCACTCTAACTGTACACGGTGCACTCTAACTGTACACGGTGCACTTTAACTTTTCACTGTGCGCTCTCCCAAGCTGCATCAAATATGGATTTTATTAGCAACATATTTATATCACAACTCTTTGCTGTCATATTTCTTATCCAGTCCAAGGTCAGCTCTAGTAAACGTGACATTCCTAGCTATAGCAGTAATGTTGACAACTTAATTGAGATACTGCATATAATTACTTGTAGTACTTGCTAAAGCCAAAGCACCTCACAAAGTCTAGTAGACCGCAGGCAGGCGTTAGATATGTACACATATAGTAATTATATTGCCACGATATGACATCAAGGAAAAAAAAGAAGAAATTTTAAATGTTTTTTTTTCCCAACATAAGCTTTGTAAATAAAGACAGAGACCGCATCATTTGTAAATAAATAGTAATAACAAAAGAATAAATAAACAATTATAATAAATAAATTATAATAATTCGAAATATTTAAGAGCTCACGAACCAGAAAAAAAAGAAAGAAAAATAACTCACCTTACTAAAGGCAAAAGTAATCGTACAATCCTTTACGTTTGCAGCAAATACACAAATCATGAAAGTCGAATCACTAAGCACATTTGTCTTTGGAGTTGCGGCTCCTCAAGTAAATCCATGAAATAATTGTAGTATAAAAAAACAACAAGGCTTTATAAAGCCCACTGTCTGCCTACAACAAATGCATTTAATGCATAGGTCACGGGTCACTTTTTCACGTCTGCTCCTCAAATACGTTTCTGTACCGAGAAGGATTTTTTTTTTTTTTGAAAAGAAAAGGAATGGAGGTGTGTGAGAGAGAAATAAGACAAGAAACGAAAGTAGAGGGAGCGATAAATTGTGTACTGTCTGGTCGCTGAAGTTTTCTTTTCCCATGTATATAATGCGTTCACTGTGTCATATGTGTATAAAAAATGGAGTTCGTTACAGGGTCAAGGTGAGCAGCAGACACGCCGCGAACAGGCGAGTTGCGTGTGAGCTCGAGATTACCACGGGATCAGACGTGTCGGTTGAAGTCAAGATTACTTAGGGTCGTACATTTGTAAGACCAACCTGTAGCTGACATGTCACATAGGCGCCCTGTTGACCCCAACCGTATGTAATACAGGTAGTCATTTCCAGGAGTGTATTCACAAGGGGGAAACCTTAGTATATATATATATATTTTTAAAATATATTTTCCCACCACCTCCCCCCCACCCCCCAAATCTCCTTTTCTGCATTACTACCATCATTAGAAGTATGGCTTTTCTCCGATGGTTGATGGTGTATGTAATACTTAAAGCTTTATAAATAATAAGTAGATCTAGAATTTAAAAATATATATTGATGAATTGAAGAAAACATATTTTTCAAAAGCTATTTAGATACATTATCAGTAATATTTTAAACAATTATATTTGATGCAAGGAAGAAGACATTTTTCTCAATAAATACGTCACATATTTTTTTTTTAAAAACGAGTAACTTCAAAAACTTAAAAATGATCACTTCCGAGCCCCCATTGCCCACTTCGTGCCTCGCAACTCCTAGAGATATTGTGTGGCTCCGACGCTGGCGAACAATTAGCTCCACTTTGCGCTGCTGTGTTGAAATGCTGTTGTTTGGCTTTACAATTTATGAGCCATTGAAAAGCTTAACATGGCTCTAGTCTCCCAAAGCCTCTGTAGTCAGAATCAAACTTTGGCTCACTTTCAGGGCTAGAGGGTTAGATGTGGCGCATGGACTGATAACGGTTGTTGAAAGGCGTGCTGGGTGGGGGAGGGGTGGATTTGATAATTTATAAGGTTTAATGGTTCGTGGTGTGTTAGTGGTTTTATAGTGTGGTTGTATGTGTTTGCTAATGCATTGTTGTTTCATAAAATCCAACCATGGGGATTCCCTTCCTACCATGGGGTATCCCATTCCAACCATGTGGCATCCCTTCCTACCATGGGGTATCCCTTCAAACCATGGGGTATCCCTTCCAAAAATTGGGTATCCCTTTCTTTTAACTAAAAATAAGACAAGATTTTTTCTGGCTAATTAAGAAGCTCTTAAAAAAAGTTTTATTTATACGCTCCTCTCACAAAACATCGCTCCTCTCACAACCATATTTTCCTCTCACAAACATAGTTCCTCTCACAAACATAGTTCCTCTCACAAACGTAGTTCCTCTCACAAACATAGTTCCTCTCACAAACATAGTTCCTCTCACAAACATAGTTCCTCTCACAAACATAGTTCCTCTCACAAACATAGTTCCTCTCACAAACATATTTTCCTCTCACAAACATCGCTCCTCTCCCAAACATAGTTCCTCTCACAAACATATTTTCCTCTCACAAACATCGCTCCTCTCACAAACATAGTTCCTCTCACAAACATAGTTCCTCTCACAAACATAGTTCCTCTCACAAACATATTTTCCTCTCACAAACATCGCTCCTCTCACAAACATAGTTCCTCTCACAAACATAGTTCCTCTCACAAACATAGTTCCTCTCACAAAAATAGTTCCTCTCACAATCATAGTTCCTCTAACAAACATATTTTCCTCTCACAAACATCGCTCCTCTCATAAACAGAGTTCCTCTCACAAACATAGTTCCTCTCACAAACACAGTTCCTCTCACAAACACAGTTCCTCTCACAAACATGGTTCCTCTCACAAACATAGTTCCTCTCACAAAAATAGTTCCTCTCACAAACATAGTTCCTCTCACAAACATAGTTCCTCTCACAAACGTAGTTCCTCTCACAAACATAGTTTCTCTCACAAACATCGCTCCTCTCACAAACATAGTTCCTCTCACAAACATAGTTCCTCTCACAAACATAGTTTCTCTCACAAACATCGCTCCTGTCATAAACATAGTTCCTCTCACAAACATCGCTTCTCTCACAAACATAGTCACTCTAAAAAACATAGTTTCTCTCACAAACATAGTTCCTCTCACAAACATAGCTCTCTCTGTTATGTAGCACAATTTCCTGTGCGTGAACTTTCCACGACCTCGAAGGACACTCCTAGCAGACAGTAACGTCTGTTGTGGGCGTGGTTAAATCTCTTTGAAGTATCGTGTTAACAATCGGCTTCCAATTACGCATTGGGTAGAATGTCTCCGGGTAACTTCTGGAATGTACTCCTTAACCCGAGATATGTAAACAACACGTCATAGTTCCTTCTGGAAGCGTCTTACGCTACATGTATATAAAGGATTGACAGATACGGAGGACGGAGATTTTGCAGATAGATTTTCTTAACATTACGAGGTGTGTTTTATTCTTTGTGTATTTGTGTGCTCATATGTGTTTATTTCACATTATTTATTGGCACATTATTCTAACTGTGTTAACTTTGTACCGGTACAAGATTTACCATACTGTAAGTTGAAGATTGTAATTATATTTTCTTTTCTTTTGTAATTATCTTAAGACATAATAAATCTTAATTAATTGTAACTTGAAACTGTTTTGGGTCGTATCGTTAATATTGTTGATTCTATGGTATCGTCCTTTGTTAGGCACTGTTTACAACGAGCCAAATTAAAATTAAAATAGGAGATTAATTTCTCCCAATACAAGTTAGTGCGTAACACTCTCACAAACATAGTTCCTCTCACAAACATAGTTCCTCTCACAAACATCGCTATTCTTGGAAACATCGTCAATATAAGTATATCTTAAGTCTTAGCAAGTCAAAAACGGTACAATCATGGATAATTATAGTTTATAAAATGGGTTTATTGATAAATGCGAAGGACAGTGTTCCCAACAATTGTTCAATTAAAAGAGTTTGGCCGTGTCCACTGGGTCGTGGCATGAGTCCTTCACCCACCATCTGTGGACATCTGTGTAGGTGTGAGTTCTGCGCTCAGTGTGGAGCTTCTCACACATACGGCACGGCCAGTCAGGGAAGTCCAGCACAGATCGGTATCTGGGTATGAGAGGTGGGAAGATTATTATTACTGCTAAAAAATGCTTGCTTAATAGTGTCGCAGAAATTAAAGTAGAGCAATTAGAGTGAATTGCTGAAAGAAATGCGAAACACGTGACTTGAAGATAAAAGACCTGAATGAATCAAAGACCATGAGCTAAAATGAATAAATATGATTTATGGATTAATCGGTTTTGCCGTTACCTGTCTTTGTTTCGCAGATAAGTCAAATAGCGATCTTTATCCCTGCCCAGGTCGTCTAAATAATCCGCTAGAGCTTCCGGTGTGGTAAAGTCAGCAGCATCAATATACATGTCGGCGGGGAAGTAACTCTTGTAATTAGCTCCTGGTGGGGAAAAAGTCGTTTTAATATTTCTTAAAACTTGCAGTTTGTAAAAGGGATTGGGGGGGGGGGGGGTTAAAGTTCGGAAGGGCGATATACATCTGTTTAAAAAGATATTTAAATAAAAATGTGATTAAGATGAGAAGGAGTCGAAACAAGGTGATGATGTCTAACAACATTTAGCGAGAGGAGTGGGTTTAAATTCCCTTGAATGCTGTTACCTCCCCTTACAACGGGTATTACATCGACATTGTTGAATATTTTGAAGAACTTCTCGCTGATATATTCTTGACACAGTGAATTCTCAAAAGCCAAATAAAACCTGATGAGTGAATGTGAGTATGGAATAGTTTACTAGTGGCAAAGTATTGATTACAGGCGTATATCATTTGTGTACGTACGTTAGGTTACTTATCACTCTTAAATAATACATAACATTTGATATTTTGATGTTGTATTTATACTATGTACGGTGTCCGGTGACGTCAACGACTTGCAGGAAATAGATAACAAAGGGTGACACCTGGTCTGGCCAGACTTACTTGTATGAACTAGATAACATAGGGAAACACCTGATCTGGTCAGCCTGTTTTCTCATCTCTTGGACACCAGGTACCTTTTCGGCCATACCACATGACAGTGGACCACATTTACCAAAAATATCAACATCGGTTCTAAAATGGTAGAAGTATCACTTAACATTATGTATCAGTATTTGTGGAGCATTCATTTATTCTACACAGCACTTTGTGATGCAATATCAGTTTAACATTTTACAACATGCAATATCAATATCAGTTCAATATCAATAAATAATTATAGTTTAATATCAACATCCATAAATATTTTTTAATATATAAAAATTGCAATGATATTCTATCAATTGTTATCTTAGAAAATGCAAAGGTAGAAATATCAGCAGATGTGCAACCAATGGATAATGAAAAACGGCACCAAATGATATGGTGGTTTTAAAGACACATTCCCGCTTTCAAGCCTCATATTTTCATTAGATATGCAATTATTGGTTGCCCAAAACAGCAATTATTACAGGTGATTTGTTTGCTATTTTGCTATCGAATGGAGACAAAAATTTAAGCTGTACAATTCTTCAAACTCACCTATTTTGCATTTTCTGAACGTATATTAATCTGTCAGATCTGACAGGACAGTGACTAACAAACCAGGCAGCCGTTCGCGTTTTGCCTTCGTAGATTTTATCTGAAATATGTTGATCTATTGATTACTTCAACGTAAGCAAAATCATATGTTAATTCTAAGGTAATTACATTGGCACTAAACGAGATTTATGTTACAATACTGTTATTAGTTATAGCTGTTTAGACGGGTAGAGCGGCCTCATTGGTCAAAACCTTAAACTTATGCCCCCCTAAAACAGACAATCGCTTTACTAAAATCTGTTTTGGTTAGGGTGTGATCAAAGGGAGACTATTCACCGTACCATAATCCTTTTCCTTCGGGTGCTCGTCCCTGATGAGTCTGCCATATACAAATGGGATGTCACTGTCCAACTTGTGAGTTATCGTCCAGTTCATCTGTTCTTTTAAGCCGGTCCGATTTAAACTCTCAAACCAAGAGAACCTAGAGGGCGCCTCGTCTGTCCTAACGATCCATCTGAAATGCAAAGTATTTTATTTCATCCCTGGGCATTTAATTCGTGACAAATATGTACAAGATACAAATTAAAGTTTAGATCATAGGTAGAATTAAAACTCCATTTTCAGTCTGTATTGCTACAATGTGAATATAAACATCAGCATGTAGAGAAAGTTCCCTCCGTAGCTAACTCCATTCCTAACTCAATACGCCGCTGGTCGCTACTGAATCTTACTAAGTAATGACTTTGTCCGAAGTATGTAAAAAAACTTAAGTTTTGAAATATTCCTCTATTGCTTAAATAACTGACATTTAGTAAATATGAAAGGAACAATAAAAGGAACAATGAAAGGAACTTTTGTAGCCTGTGTGTTAACAAAACTTTATTCACCACATGTATTTTAATTTTACCTTACTTCCCATCCCCATTTTTTAATCATTTTTAGTAACTTCGCTTTTGTTCGTGGCTGGCGGGCTAATTCTTTAGATGGCTAATTGACCCGACTAATTTAAATAAATCTGCGGTGTAAAAGCGGGGGGGGGGGGGGGGGGGGGGGGGGGGGGAGGGGGGCTTGAGGGGTCATTAGAATATTATTAAAGTTCAAGGGCGTGAAAAAAATGTGTGGTCGCGAGTCTTGAAATTTTGAGAGCACTGATTGGGATTCTAATAAAGTGCCTACTTGTATGCATGTTTTTTTTTCAAATTGTCAGCCCCACCCCTAGTGCTCGATACTACATTTTATGAAGGATGTATACGAAAAGCATGATCTTTAGATGCCGTTTAAATTCATTTCTAGTGGGTTCTAATTTAAACCCTATATAAAAGTCGACAGCTTTCCTGGCCGGGAGAGACTTTTGCTTTTTTTCCCTATTCATTTACAAGACGTAATATACTTAAGAATGTAATCTTTATGTTTAGGAGCAAATTAATATTTTAATCTTTCAAGGATTTTACCTTGCCACTTGATTTGCTGTAAGTTGGTAAGTTTTTTGTTGTTGTTTTTTTTTTTTTTTGTTCTATATTTGAATTTCTATTTTATTTTTTTTTTAAATAGTATAATTAAATTGAATAGCTTTAGCATCCCTAGCTTTTGGTATTTCTTTTCTTTGTATACCGGTATTCAGTCCTTTGTCACATATTGTTCATCTAACCAGACATATCTTCAGATGGAAGAAATTGGCAAACCCATATAACGCTTTGTATCAGCATCAATGAAAGGGGCAATGAAAGAAACAATGAAAGGAACAATGAAAGGAACAATGAAAGGAACAATGAAAGGAACAATGAAAGGAACAATGAAAGGAACAATGAAAGGAACAATGAAAGGAACAATGAATGGAACAATGAAAGGAACAATGAAAGGAACAATGAAAGGAACAATGAAAGGAACAATGAAAGGAACAATGAAAGGAACAATGAAAGGAACCATGAAAGGAACAATGAAAGGAACAATGAAAGGAACAATGAAAGGAACAATGAAAGGAACAATGAAAGGAACAATGAAAGGAACAATGAAAGGAACAATGAATGGAACAATGAAAGGAACAATGAAAGGAACAATGAAAGGAACAATGAAAGACTGAACAAAGACCAAAAAAGAGAATTTGATTTATTATTGTTTGTTTTAAACTAGTTTATCGTGGCTGTTCTATGTGTAAATTCGTGTTTTTTTATATATTTTTTTTATCATATTAATCCTACTTAGTTACTTAGTTATCTGAAAAGAAGATTTGGTGTATGATGAACTCACATTTGACCTGGTTTTCTCCGGAACTCTGGCACGCCCACTCGAGTTAATCTGGCTATAAGAAATATGACTGCGTCAGCTGACTCGACGTCCTCCGTCATAACACATTTGTCATATTCACACTGGGAACAAACAACACATGTATCATATTCAAATTTAAACAAACAACATATTTGTGACATTTACATTTCGAACACACAATAGTCATATTCACATTTGGGACAAACAACACATTTTTCATATTCACATTCAGTGATCAAATGGATGACGTCTTGATTTAAGGACTGGCAGTTTGTAATCCATTGATTTAAACTTAAAAGATGGCTCTATGAAATGAGTTAACTTTTTAAAAAAATAGTTTAAAAACTTTTTACAAAATAGAAATATATTTCAATTACTGTTACTGTATAGGTCACCTGGTTAAAAAATGTCCTTGACAGGAATTTGAGCTCTCTATTCGGATCGTAATAACCGATAGCGATTGGTCGGTTGACTTCTACAGGCTTGTGCTCTGTGTAACTAAATCAATGAAAGTATGTGAACACTACAGTCGAGATGGTGCGTTACAGATTAATCTTATATACGCATGGTTTATTGGGTGGGTGAATGGATGGGTGGCTGGGCGACTGTTTGATTGATTGAATGGATGGATGGCTGGGCGACTGTTTGATTGATTGAATGGATGGGTGGCTGGGCGACTGTTTGATTGATTGAATGGATGGGTGGCTGGGCGACTGTTTGATTGATTGAATGGATGGGTGGCTGGGCGACGGTTTGATTGATTGAATGGATGGGTGGCTGGGCGACTGTTTGATTGATTGAATGGATGGGTGGCTGGGCGACTGTTTGATTGATTGAATGGATGGGTGGCTGGGCGACTGTTTGATTGATTGAATGGATGGGTGGCTGGGCGACTGTTTGATTGATTGAATGAATGCATTGCATGGCATGGCTGGATGAATAGATGAATGGATGAATGGATGGGTGGCTGGGCAACTGTTTGATTGATTGAATGGATGCATTGCATGGCATGGATGGATGGCTGGATGAATAGATGAATGGATTGGTGGTTTGGGCGAGTGTTTGATTGATTGGATGGATGGATGGCTGGATGAATAGATGATTGGATGAATGGATGGGTGGCTGGGCGACTGTTTGATTGATTGAATGGATGCATTGCATGGCATGTGTGGATGGCTGGATGAATAGATGAATGGATGGGTGGTTTGGGCGAGTGTTTGATTGATTGGATAGATGCATTGCATGGCATGGATGGATGGCTGGATGAATAGATGAATGGATGGATGGTTTGGGCGAGTGTTTGATTGATTGAATGGATGCATTGCATGGCATGGATGGATGGCTGGATGAATAGATGAATGGATGGGTCGTTTGGGCGAGTGTTTGATTGATTGAATGGATGCATTGCATGGCATGGATGGGTGGCTGGATGAATAGATGAATGGATGGGTCGTTTGGGCGAGTGTTTGATTGATTGAATGGATGCATTGCATGGCATGGATGGGTGGCTGGGCGACTGTTTGATTGATTGAATGGATGCATTGCATGGCATGGATGGGTGGCTGGATGAATAGATGAATGGATGGGTGGTTTGGGCGAGTGTTTGATTGATTGGATGGATGGATGGCTGGATGAATAGATGAATAGATGGGTGGCTGGGCGACTGTTTGATTGATTGAATGGATGCATTGCATGGCATGGATGGATGAATAGATGAATGGATGGGTGGTTTGGGCGACTGTTTGATTGATTGAATGGATGCATTGCATGGCATGGATGGTTGGCTCGGCGATTGTTTGATTGATTGAATGGATGCATTGCATGACATGGATGGGTGGCTGGATGAATAGATGAATGGATGGGTGGCTGGGCGACTGTTTGATTGATTGAATGGATGCATTGCATGGCATGGATGGGTGGCTGGGCGATTGTTTGATTGATTGAATGGATGCATTGCATGGCAAGGATGGGTGGCTGGGCGACTGTTTGATTGATTGAATGGATGCATTGCATGGCATGGATGGGTGGCTGGGCGATTGTTTGATTGATTGAATGGATGCATTGAATGGCATGGATGGATGGCTGGATGAATAGATGAATGGATGGGTGGTTTGGACGACTGTTTGATTGATTGAATGGATGGATGGCTGGATGAATAGATGAATGGATGAATGGATGGGTGATTGGGCGATTGTTTGATTGATGGCATGGAAGGATGGTTGGATGAATAGGTGAATGGATGAAAGGATGGGTGGGTTGAGCATGAATCAATAAATGGGGAGATCCATAAATAGCATAATATAAAGATAATAAAGATTAAAATTTGCTCGTCTTTGGTAGCACAAGGTTTATAAATTTAAAGCTTAATTTGTGTACAAACATTGCAGAAGACTTATATACAGCAGGAGACCAAGTACAAAGAGACGTACACAGTGTCCGTTTTATCCATGCCAGCTGCCAGGATGTACGGGGATTTGGTCTCGTCGAAATCTCGCCACGATTCCAAATTAACATCTTGATACGATACTTAAGAAAAGAAATAATGCTTTCGTTATTGGTAATAGATGTCATTTGCATGATGGATTTATAATTGTATCTACAACTGAATGGTGGTTGCTTAAATATTTTTAAATTTCCAGTTTTAATGTTTATTATATTTCTGAATAGTGGGAATTGATTGAATGTTTATAAACTTCGTAATTTTGACCAAAAAAAGTATCGATGTTTAGCTATGTAGGCTATTTCTTCATCTGGAAAGTATCGATACTCTTCTTTAGCCAAATACTTAAGGGTGTAATTCACCGAACACTACGAGGCCAAGGTAACAAAGAAATTTATTATATGAAGATTACTTGTTAGGTGAAGGTGGTTGAGGTTTTGGTCAGTGAATACGAGGTGTTAGTTATGTTTTCTGAAAACCAAATTATTTAGAAAAAACAAGGGTGGCCAATGTGCAGCGAGTGTGTTTCAATGTTTGAGCGCACCAGAAAAGCTGTTACTACTTGTGAAAGAATTATAAATACTTGAAATTCAGAAAACAAAATTAGGGAATTTCTGTTTTAGTCATGTAATGCGTAACTGCTGTCTTAGTCAGATTGTATAAACATTTGATTTATCTTCTTATGGGCCATCCATATAGTACGTGCACACTGGGCGAGCGGTCTACACGGAGACAAACACAAGCTAGTGGGCTGGAGTTAAATGCCCAGAAAACAAGCAATAAAATCACCAGCCCCCCGGTTTGAAACTCGTCTTAGAGAAGGCAAACTTTGAATTCGAACCCGTAGATGGAGTCCCGTGGGTGGTATGACATTGAAACAATGAAAGTTCCGACAGCTCCATTGACGTTAGAGCGCACAGAGAGCACAGTGAAACGTGCACGCGCTGCTGATCCTCTACTGGTCTATTTCCAGTCATCTTGACCTAAGCCTTGCTATTGGCTCAAAAGGGCAACCACGAGAGAGTGCGGCTGAAGACTTGAACCACGCTCACTTTAAATACAAAATACAGCTCAAGTCAAGATTACTCCTCAAGTTGAAAGTTGCATTGGTCATTTTCGCGTACTTATGACGAACAACTTAGTCAATTTTTCTAACCCCCCCCCCCCCAACACATGTTGCACACGAACTTTTTTGACTATGACCCCCCCCCCTCTTCTTTTTTGCGTACGTTCAATGAGATTTCCACCCCCCACCAAACTAAAAAATCATATAATCTTTACGCAATTATGAAGTCAGAGTATACAAAATATGTCGCGGGTTTTCACCGCTAGCTGTTAGACGAACCCAGTGGTTCCCATACTATACGCCGCATCGCCCTGGGCGCCACATTACCCTCGGCCATGAGAATGGATCGAAGAGGAATAGGAGCCTAAATCATATTTAGATAGGATCTTAATAGTGAATTTAACGACACAATCTCATATACTTCACAAAGACAATGGGCGCTAAAAACTTTTTTTTTACTGGTCCGTTCGTGTGGGAGGGGGGGGGGGGAACAATTTTCTATATGGGTTGCTGTGGCTTGTTCTACGGGGGCCTTGCGAAACATTATACAATGTTCATAATTGTGTTTCCACTTTTAATCCCATGCGACGCCTGTTCGTCATGGAGCAAACAGTGACTCACTTGAGTAACAACTGCTTGCTGCTACTAGATGGCGCTTAGTGACCTACATACATATTTTAATATTTTTAGCCAAACCTTTATTTTACTTGGTTTTATGTATTCCCTATTTTGAAATGAACTTGTTAAAATTTAACACATGGAGTCTGGTGAAAACCTAAATGTGGCACAGGTGCCGGATATCGAAAGGTATTAGGGACCACTGGCGTAACCCAACAAAATATGCGTCACACGCGCGTTGAACATACGATGGACTAAATATCACTGCAAGTCTCTACTGCTTAGTACTATCTGACTATATCTAGCGTATTCATTTGTGAAAACACCGTGGCAACATGATCACAACAAATCCTTCAAAACATGGCGTGATATTTTTACAGCATTCGAAATATAAATATTCTATTTTTGGACTGTCAGAATTGCAGGATGATTATTGTAGAATTTTTTATAGTAAATGTGCGTATTTTCTGCCGAGACCTACCCCCCCCCCCCCCAACTGGGCCATACGCACGCGTACGCAAAATCTCCAAAACTGAATCAAAACATGGCGTGTAATTTTTACAACATTCGAAATATAAATATTTTTTTTTTTGACTGTCAAAATTGCAGGATTATTATTGTAGAATTTTTTATAGTAAATGTGCGTATTTTCTGCCGAGACCCCCCCCCCCCCCCCCCAACTGGGCCATACGCACGCGTACGCAAAATCTCCAAAACTGAAACCCCCTCAGTGCGTAAGTTCTATATGGACGGCCCCTAATTTGAAATGTAAGTCGCTCATGTCATTGTTTTTCCCTTCATGCTTTACGTGAAGATTTCCATGACACCTAGCTAACCACCACGTGTTTGATACCGTATATAAATATGCACACCTTTCTTGACAGGTTCCAACTGGAGACCATTGGGCACCCGGAACATCCAAACGGAGCTTGAAGCAGCGGCCGATGACCTCCGAGACACCAGTGGGAGAACCGTTGTTCCGATGAATGCTATGAGAATGACTACGAGTACAGAACTCAAGGCTTTGATGAGTGGGGACACGCGAAATACTTGCATGGCCAAACGGGTCTCTCTCCGGTGGTCTGACCTTATATTGTGTGTGCGACTGTTGATGTAACAAAGTCTAGGGGTGGGGGCCGAAATGAAAAATTGGAAGGATTGTTAGAGTCATTATGTGTGACAATATATAACAAAAAAGGTTACATGCATGTATATATACAAATAAATATCTCAAAATCTGTTAAAATTAGGTGTCGCTTTTGTTATATCCAAATTGTTATATATCCTGATGACGTTATGGACACATCAAAATTTAGAATATCAAATAATATTATTTGGTGATTAAGAAAAAATGATATCAAATAAAATATTATAATTTAAATTTCTTTGCCCACAATTTTGAAAAATGAAATGGATTAAACACAATATTACATGTTTTTTTTTAGATTTAGAATTTGCACTGAACATAAAATTCGGATATAAAAAGAAATAAATAAAATAATAGCAACCTAAATTCCATCTGTTTTAATGAACACAAATTAACAATTTAAAAGCAGGGATGTACGCAAACATACCACGGCGTTCACTGAAATCCAAATAGATTTGCTAAAGAATATAAAGTGTATCACAATGGTAAAACCAGTCGCCGTTGGCAAAGATTTTAAAACCAATATTGTAAACGTCACTGTTATCAGAGATTCTCAAACCAATATAGTACACGTCACCGTTATCGGAGATTCTCAAACCAATATAGTAGACGTCTCTGTTATCAGAGATTCTCAAACCAATATTTTGAACGTCACTGTTACCAGAGATTCTCAAACCAATCTAGCAGGCATGCAGGGTCGTGGCAAGCAAAAGCTGCGCCCCAGGTAAAGACTGAATTGGGGCACCCAAAAGTATAAATTGATACACGTATTTGAAGCCATCCCTTATTTTCACAAAGTCCTGGAAAGGGGTATACAGCTTTTAAATAAGTGCAAATTTAGTGTGTATGCATAGATTTAACAATACCCCCTATAAAGCAATCTTGGTCATGTCTTTAGCTATGAAACAATACAACGTCCGCTGAACCTCCTCTATCTGATCATTGTCATTTCCTGCACGACGTGTTCACGTGTTATCGATGAATAGATTAAAATCAAGTGATTTTTACTTTGACGTGCATGACGGCCATTACCAAATAAAACTAGACATCTAGACATTTGTTTCTTTAATTATTGTTTTTTCCACGTGGAGTTTTAAATAAGATAACATTGAAGATATTTTGCGAGACCTTGTTATAAAATATACAGCCTAGTTAATTTAAAAGTCTGTGATGAAATTATATAAGAGTGTTAAAGACAAACCCCATAAAAGTCACTTTTACATACGGTATCCAGGTCTTAAGGTTGACTTAAATCAACCAATGTATTTGTCTCATGATGTTTGTGAACGTTTTGAAAGGGTTATGAAACTTATGCTATTAAAAATAAATATACTTTTCTTAACCCTCTTGCATCCTCTTTGATAGCCGTAGGGAGGAATGCTATTGTTCTTTCGTAGCCATTGGGAGTACTGTGATTGTTCTTTTGTAGCCGTAGGGAGAAATGTGACTGTTCTTTTGTAGCCATAGGGAGTGATCCGATTGTTCTCTTGTAGCCATAGGGAGGAATGTGATTGTTCCTTTGTAGCCGTAGGGAGGAATGTGATTGTTCTTTTGTAGTCGCGTGTAGTTATGCGATTGTCCTTTACAAAGCAGCGCTTACTTTTGGGTTCCTAAGTCATCTGTTATCGTCTGAATCACACTTAGTAACGTGAATTCCATCTTGAGTCACAATGCCTTGGAATTTGTTAAGTCTTCGAAAGATGCACTTGTACAAGTTGTACACAACGATACCACGTAGGGGAGAGGATTCTATTGTGAAACATATTCGGACTGAAATTTATTTAGTAAATTTTAAAAATTATTACCTTAGATTCGCCAAGGACCATTGGAAAGGATGTGGTGCAGGGCTACCATTTGCCAACAGTCCTTAAATGTACGTACAGTCCGTAAAAGATTTGGTCTTAAATGACTTGTCCGTTAAATGTCCGTATGAACTGGATGTCCGCAAAACAAATTAGACATCGTACACAAATTATTTGAGGTGAAACAAAACAGGATATCTCAAATGTTTGCGACTTCTTCTTCTTAATGGCTTGAAACCTTGTATCAGCATAATCGGGAGAAATTTAACATTGATGAGAATGCCATATAATGAATAACTTTATAAACTAGGCTCAAGTCCCATAGTAAAATGGCATAATACAGTCACACACAGACATAATTTTCTTATGTATTATTTGAATTAATTTTGTTAGCTTAGCAATTTCATTTTTATTACATATCCGTAAAAATAAAAAAAAAATTTTCCAGAGTTAGAATTTCTTTCATGAATTTGTATTTATTTATTTTTAGTCGGTAACCCAGGTTTTGGTTTGCGCAATCATTTCGGGATTTGTTAAGGCAAATGAATATATACGTCATAAGAATACGTCTTTGTCCTCGCCAATCAGAATTGCTCTACTCGTGTTCTATTGTTTAGAATTCACATGTCTTTTGATTGTGTTAACTACCATTTATGTTTAACTGCTTGATACCCTTAGTATGGTTAGACTTTGAAAAATGAATAATCTGGTAGTACAATTTGGGAACCGCTGCAGGGGGATACTTAAAGATACATCTATGTGGCAACATCCATACAATTGTCGAGTCAAGTATTGATTTGATGTTTGATGTTTGATGAGGTTACCATTGAATTTTTTTTTTTTACAAGCCATTAAAACAACTAATAAAGCCCCGACCTCCGACATTAACGATTGGTAGAGGACGGTCATAAAAAAACTGAACACGCCTCCATGGGCGCCCGCAGGTAGGGGCAAGGTGGGGCACTTGCCCCCCCCCCTGGATTGATTGGATAAAAAAAGTTTAGACAAAAATAGAATAAAAATGTATTAAAGTAAAGAGAAAACAAAGAGAAAGTAACTAAGCTGATATTCTGTCCGTTCGTTCACCATACAAATACGCTACAGTAAATTAAAACTACATTAAAACATTACTAAACATTTTTTGCCCCCTCCCCTTTCCCCTGGAAAGTTAATCGATTTATTTTGCCCCCCCCCCCCCC